AATGACTTCTTGTATAGTATCATAACAACAAATATAATAGTGAAGAAAGCAAACACAACCATCATAAATGTAATTTAGAAGGTTACATTGTTCCATGAGTTACATGTTTCCAAATAAATTACAGCACGATGACAAAATGAGTTTTGAACTTAACGCCTTAGCGTCCCGTCCTCAAAAGCTAAGCATTACTTGTTCACTGATTTCCTGAGAATACAAGTAGTTTTGAAAAAGTGTCAACAATTAAGTTGGTGAGTTCATAAGAGTTTTATTTGAGAAAAATGTCATTTTCCTTGTAAAAGTGATAGTGTATGATTCCAGAAAATCCAATATTTTCTTCAGAAAATGGGAGATGTAAGTTTCTATGTTATACAATAATGTACCCTAAAAAGGCCCATAGATTCCTTCTAGAATCTCCAAGTGTATATAAGTTATATAAAATTAAAGTTAAATAAGTCGTCGAATATAATGCGTCTACCTTAGGCCCACAACCAAACAGGAATAGGAAATAAAGCGGACCCACCAATTGTAAGTCGATCGCGACTAGATTTTATATAACTCTAGCATATACACTTAGCAATTATAGTCGAAAACTAACAATTCTAGATGAAATGTAGTCTTAAAACCAAAGACCGATAATGTACTAGTGTTTTCCATACTAATAATAGTATATGCAAGTTTAAATCGACATAAACTTGTTTAAATGAATGAAATCCCTGTAAATCTTATGTTTTGTTAATATCCCATGTGAGTTATTATAACCATGCTATGACCTAGTTGGCCTGTGACAACGTTCTTCAGGCGTCGGAAATGTTATAACATTTGTCACTCGTAGACCTCGAGGTATGGCTGTAGATAACAACAAGGTGTGGGGTGTCAATCCCAATATAGATCTATACACAACTATCACGCACTCCTTACAAGAGACTCTAGTTACAACACATGACTTAAATGCGTTACTTTAAAAGTACCGTGAAATGAATGTCTCACAAATTTATTCATTAATAGATTTACGTATAGTGAACTGAAAACTCTTTTGTGTAAATGAAACCCTTTGTAGTAAGTATGTAGTGTGAATGAACATAAACTATACCTATCATAGTTTATCATAATGTTTGTAATGTATGTGAAACATAAACTATACCTATTATAGTGTATCATAAATATTTGTAGTGTAAATGAACATAAACTATATTGATTATAGTTTATCATAAATGTTTGTAGTGATAGTAATCGTTTTGTGTATGTTGTATGTCCTTTTACTAATGTAAATGACATAAAGTATAAACAACATGTATTTATATAGTAGTACACACCTTCCTCAGCAAGTTACAAGGTGTAAATGAAATTGTTAACTATTTTTCTAATTTATAACTTTTTTGTTCCCGTTCTTAGAAACATTATAGAAAAATCATCAAAGGTCGAAATCAAAATCGGTAAATTCTGAGAGTTTAGAAAATGTGTCTAGTTTGTTCATAATTTTTATTATGATTTTTAGTTACCTCTAGCTTCAAGTTCTAAACTTAGTACATTCTAAATTTCTAAACTTCAATATGCATTTACATGGCTATATTCTTAAGGATTATGGGTTTACTTTGTGACATGAAGTGTTTGATAATGACGTTTTCAAGGTTGATGATAAGATGAGGCATGCTCATGTGAAATAATGTGAAATAACAAACAAAAAAGCACCCTGGAAGGAAGAAAAAGGGAAATCTCTAGTTCTCATTCTTTTAATTTCAATGCACATGCACCTGCATTTGTCCCAAGTTCAAGTTTATAGTCCCATATTATGGTTCCAGTTATGTTACTGTTGGGGTAAGTTCTCAAAGTACCATTAACATCCTACTTGATGTATTGCCTTTTTCATATATTCAAACATAAAGTCATAATCTTCACATTAATTTAAATAAATTTCTTAAGCATGTATGTTGGATTTGAGCTTTACATGTATATATTCTTGTATCCAGCCATCCAAGTACTTGTTGAGATAACTGTAATTTGGTTCTTTTGTTGTTTCTAAAGACCAACAGTTAACCCATATTTGGAGAAGTTTAATATAATTTTAGTACTTCAATTAATCAATTATTGATTATTAAAGAATGAATTCTGATTCTTAAAGAATTAAGAGTGGTTGATGGTGGTGGTTTGCGGTGATTAAGTCTTGATGGTGACATTTTAATGTAAATAGATGGCAAGAAACGATGGTGATGCATGTGGTAATCAATATCAATCAAAGAAAGTGAAAACTTAAAATTTTTTAGACATTGTATTTTTCAAGAATGTTTAAATTCTGTAAGAATTCTTCATTTGTATTAAAAAATTGTGGTGTTATATCCTAGAACACTATATTCTACAAGAATAGTTTTAGTTGTAAAAAATTTTTGGTGCTATAGAATTATATCACTTTAATTTTTAAAGAACTTTTTAGTCGCATAAAAAATAATATCTAAAGATTAAATTTGTTAAACCATTTTTAACCATAAATGCTACAAGAATGTTGTTAATTTAAATCAATTGTTAATGCAAAATTTTAAAAGAATATTTTATTCGTTGTTAAGTGATTCTTAACCTTCATTTCCTTAAAAATCATGTTTAGATTCAGGCTTTTGTAATATATTCTTCAAAAATATTTTATTAGTATTTCATAAAAAAAAACATTTGATAATTTTTCTAGTAAACATATATGCTAATTTATATTAATTTATATTTTATTAATTAATTGGACTTACTTACCTAAAATGCAGGTATTTTAATTTCTCTCTCTTAATAAAATGTTAAATTTGTATTTAATATTAATTAAGTGTAATTATATAGTAAATGTTATGTTATGTTAACACAATGCACACTATAATCACAAGTATTTATTCTTTTAACCTAATGATTATCATTTGGTCATACATTCATATAATACTTTTGATTTATGTGTGTGTGTATATATATATATATATATATATATATATATATATATATATATATATATATATATATATATATATATATATATATATATATATATATGTATGTGTGTGTGTATGAGGTTTAATAGAAAATCATAATTAATAGAGAATCAAGGAACCAATCATGAGTGTCGGAAATCATAATGATCAACGGCTAAGGAAATATATGTACAACTGTATATTGGACGCACACACCCTAGATTATACCAAAATGTCCATATCCTTACCAAAAAACCCACCTCTTTTTTTCGTTTAAATTTTTTTAGGTCACAATTTTTATCGAAAAAAAAAACAAATATCTCGTTGTTCACGATTTTTCGTTCTCTTTCCATAGAGATCCATGTTGATATAGAAAAAACAATTTTTTTTTTAAAAAAACCCACTTTATTTTGTTATTTTTTTCAATATTTAAGTTTATTTTTATCCAAAAAAAACTAATTATATCAAAAATATTGATTTTTTGTACTCTATTAATAAATATCAACTAAAAAAAACTGGATCAGTGTAGATTTACACTGTGAATCTAAATTGTAAATCTTTCAATTTTTAACATTTACAATGTGAATAAACTTGATTAGTTCAGATTCACATTGTGAATCTAAACTATAAATATTCCAATTTGTAGCATTCACAAGGTGAATTTGACTTACTGTTTCAATTCTTTGATCATTTGCAAATTAACTTAGTGAAATTTACTATTATTCACACTGTGAATCTGAGCAAGTTCACAATGTGAATCTGAACAAGTTCGCAATGTGAATCTGAATAGGATCGCAATGTGAACCTGACTTACTATTATTCACACTCTGAATCTGAGCAGGTTCACAATCTGAATTTGAACAGGTTCGCAATGTAAATCCGAACAGGTTCACAATGTGAATCTGAACTGAAATATCAATTTTTCTAACATCAATATAAATCTATGTTTAAAGAGTACCAAAAAGTGTGAACTTTAATATATTAATTAGTTTTTTCTATAAAAAATAGAACTTAACTTTTCAACAAACAAAGAAAATAAAGTGGGTTTTTTGAAAATAAAAATCATTTTTTATATATCAATATGGATCTCAATGGAAAGATGATGGAAAATCACAAACAATGGTATATTCGGTTTATTTATTTATTTTTTCATAAAAAACATGGCCTGAAAAAATTTAAACTAAAAAAAGAAAGTGAGTATTGTTATAATCCGGTGCATTTGCGTCCATTGTAAAAGTCTACAATAATTTCTTTTGCCGTTAATCGCTTTAAATTTTGACGTTTTTGATTGGTTCCTTGGTTCCTTTATTAATAATGGTTCTCTATTGAACTTATATATATATGGGAAAGATCATACGAAAATGCAAATAATTTGTGAAAGCACGGAAACAAGGAAAACTTATGAGATTGTGTCACCTCAACCTTATAATTTAGACAATAATTCATCCAAACTTTGAACTACATGATGATAACCGATGATAGATGAAAAATTGTTTCATATTAGCAAAAAATGCTTTTTGACATATTCAGTATTGAAACTTGAATTTGAAAGTGGTTAAGGATGTGAAAAAAAAGTTGTTAAAACCATCTTTAAATCTATAGTATCATAAAGCTCTCAAATGTAAACTTATTATCATTAATTTATTGTTTATAAATTTAATTTCTAAAGTATATGTGTTTGATTTTTATAAAATAAAACTTGTTTCCGTATTTTGCAAAATATTTATGTTATATATATATATATATATATATATATATATATATATATATATATATATATATATATATATATATATATATATATATATATATATATATATAGTGAGAAAGAGAGGTTCAAATGTATTCAACAAGTATTGACTACCTCTAACAACCAATCAGAATTAAGCAAAAATAAATTCAATAATAAATCAGAAAAGGGTATAATATTAATCTTGGCTACATTTAATTTTGGTAAATATTTAAAACGTTTAAATGTCCAGGGAAACTAGTTTGTTAACCCTAGAAAAACACTCACCATTTGTCCTTAAATTGCTTCTTCAATCTTCACCATCGACTCCTTCATTATTCTAGGAAAAGAAACCCACCATGGCAGCCATCATCTCCACTATCAATCATCAGGTGAACGACATTTCTTCTATTGAGTGATTTTCGAGCAAACAACACCGAGGTCCTCACCTGCGACGAATGGCTGCCGACCGGACTCCCATCGGACCCGCTTTCCCCTCGTTTTCTTCCTCTGAGGTTCCCATCAACCACAGAGGTCAAAAGGCTCGTCTTCTCTACTAATGTTGCTTGCAAAGCCCGGACCTCACACCATGTAGCCAAAAGAGACGAGCAAAACTTTGCTGCTTATCCTTTTCGGCCCCATCGACCTCGGGAGACGACCTCCATCTCGCAATCAATCGACGAAAATGGTGCCGCATGTGAGCCTTCCTTTTCCCCCTCTTCGTTCATCTGTTCCGTTCCTTTGTGACCTCCTTTGTGAATGATTTGTATCCCATACTCAATCAGCCAAATGACGAACATGACATAAAAGCCCTAAATTGGTTTAAGTTTGGGCCATCACCAGAGCATAACTTAGCCGATATGAATTTGTTCATTCTTCATTCCAGGTGTGGTTTTACTTTCCTTTACTTTTAGTTTTGGTTTATTTGTCAATTCGTTTGTATGATTACAAATTTCCAATCTGAGAATTCAATAATGGAATTAGACTGTCTTATTCTATTTTAGGGCTTGAATCCTAAGAAAATATTGAAATATTGCACTCAAATTTTCTGTCTACTAGTTTTTATTTTGGAAGTGATTCAGAATCAAGAATCAATTTTTTTATGTTATCAATGTTTTTGAATGTTGCTTGTACTATTGCGTTTTTTGAATGTTGATAATAAAACATGCCCTCCAAGTGTTCGATATAATGTCAAAAAGAGAAAGTTTTTGTGTAAAAGAGGCAAGTTTGATATGTTGGACTTATTGGGAAGATTCTGTCAGAATATGTTAAGGTAACAAGTTTATACTGTAGCACCTGGTTCCTGGTATGTATTCTTGATTATTAACTCTCCTTATGTATTGCATTTTAACCTTGGACTCGGCGAGTTGAAGGACTAACTCGCCGAGTAGAAGCAGGTCTAGTCACGGGATCAACTCTGGCTACTCGGCGAGTAGGGTCGTGGGACTCGGCGAGTAGACCCTGTCTGGACTGAAACCCTAACCCGGGTGTTTGCACCCTATTTAAATGATCTAACCCAGCCTCCACTACCCATAGCACTCCCAGAGATTTGTAGAACGAAACCCTAGCCCCATGTCCTTGTGGGTGATTTTTAGCATTTTGAAGGTGGTTTGGAGCTTGGGAGAAGAAGGAGAAGGGTGAAGAGTGCAAGAAGGGAAGAAGATCCGGAATATACTCTGTGAAGGGATTCTATTCAGGTAGAAAAGTTCCTACCTTGATCTTTAGTTCATTGAACCCCCTTTCTTGTCCCTAAAAGGAGGTTTTAAGCCCTAAGAACCTAAATCTCTATGTGTTTATGGTTAATGTTCTGCAAGGACTTCGGATTTGGATCTTTAGGACATCCTAGTAGCATAAAGTCTCTGTGGTTGAGGTGATTGAGGTCCCTATTGAGTGTAGGACCTCTTAAAGAGTTTGGAATTGCATGTTTAAGCTCATTGGGTCGTGCATGCACGTAAAGTTTGCAACTTTACGTGGTAAACATGCTCTAGGACCTTAGATCTGTGGTTTTGAAGCATTGTATGTCTCAGATCTGGCCTACTTTGGAAATGGGTCGAGGAACTCGGCGAGTTCTATGAAGATGGTCTTAGACTCGGCGAGTTGGATGAAGAACTCGGCGAGTCGGTACTCGAGTCGGCCCCATAGTCCCGAGTGGTGAGTCAAGGGTGACTCAGTGAGTGGGAAGAGGGACTTGGCGAGTGGGACCGGATTAGAAAGGGAAGGACTCGGCGAGTTGCTCACGGACTCGGCGAGTTGCTCACGGACTCGGCAAGTCCAGTCAGCTGGAAGTTGACTTTGACTTGGAGTTCGACCTGGTCGAGGGTAAAAGGGTCATTTTACCCTAAGAACATCTAGCAGTGTTTGACTGATCGTTTTGTGGGATTTATAGCCGGAGGACGTCCGGAGCAGCAGCAACAGTAGACAGTCAGTTTCCGATCAGTTCAGCAGCTACTTTGAGGTGAGTTACCTTCCAGTAGCGATGGGTCTAAGGCCACAATGCCGGCCCACCAGTATGAGATGTATGATTAGATGATTGTCTTTGTGATATTCATCTAGGGTTGCTACTGCCTGTGTTATGTTTATGTGTTAGTGACAGTAGGGGGAGATAGTCCCCTAGAATACCGGTCGATAGAGCCGAAGGGGCGGTCATGCCCAGCCATGCTAGATAGACTATGTGATATATGTGTTATGTGGTAGTAGTAGGGGATGAAATAGTCCCCAGTATCCGGTCGAGAGGACAGAAGGGGAGGCCAGCATCCAGATATGCTAGGCAGTATCCGGTCGAGAGGATCGAAGGGGAGGCCAGCACCTAGATATGCTAGGCAGTATCCGGTCGAGAGGACCGAAGGGGAGGCCAGCACCCAGATATGCTAGACAGCATCCGGTCAAGAGGACCGAAGGGGTAGGTCGGGCACCCAGATATGCCTGACAATTTATGTATGTTATGTGATTATATGGTATGTGGTACAGTGGGGGAACTTACTAAGCTTCGTGCTTACGGTTTTCAGTTTTGGTTTCAGGTACCTCTTCAGCTAAGGGAAAGGAGCCGGCGCGGTAGCAGCATATCACACACACACACACACTCGTGTTTCCATAGTTATGAGTTTATTCTGGGATTGATTTTATGATATTTGGGTTGTTTACATGTTGTGGATTTCAAATTTGGGTTTTAGATATGAAATGGTTTAATTAAACAATGTTTTAATTATTAGTGTTTTCTAAGTAAAGTTTTAAAAACGAGATTTCTGGACGTGAAAATTGGGTCATTACAAGTTGGTATCAGAGCCCTGGTTTGAGGGATTCGGACACACCTTCGGGGGTGTTTGAACTCAAATCGAGGGATTAAAAGATTTTGGAAAGAGAAAATGTTTTCTAAAAGGGTAAGTAAAGGGGTTTTAAGAAAGAACAAAGTGTGTGATGTGCGCGACCGACCGAGCTCAAGTAAGTATTCCCTAATATACCCATACAAGTTTATTTATGTTTATCAGTTTCTGTAGAACAGCATGCTAGAATAGGACTAAGGATCTAGGAGTGATGCCTTATGTGCCTGCTTTATGTGCTTCAGTATATGAAAGAGTTGCATGCTAGAGTTGAGTAGGCAGCAGTAGGGTAGCCTGTTTAGGTTATTCCTAATAGTACGAGTTTAGCATTGTATGCTAGTTCAGTTATCTCTACGAGGATAGAGTTGCTTGGGATTGTTTTCCTTATGTCCAAATGTTGTTTGCTTTGTGCTATGTGGGCTTTGAAGTGATGGGAGTTAACTGTTAGGTGAATACGTTAAAGTCACATGTGATCAGGGTTGAATAATCTCAGAGTGTTGGATTTGACTCTATTGCGTAGCTCTTGTTTGAGTCCTAATCGTTGTAGGGATGATTCCCTTACTCGAAGGATTATCCGAGCCTCATCACATGTGATTGTATTCAGGTAATAGTTAATTGGCATCACCAAGAGGCCTTCAGCAGCTGAGGACTGGGTTGGTGGAGTCGGAGGTTTCCTAGGGTAAGACTAGGATAAAGAGTAGCAGTGATCATCGGTAGTGGAAGGGACCTGGTTGAGTTGAGGCGGTCTTTGGGGAAGGTACGGATAGATGTGGAAGGTAGTATGGGCCCGTACTACTGAAAGCAGAGGATCCGTACCCAAACCGAGGAAGGCTAAGATAAGACCAGGGAACTTGTAGTGGGTGGGATACCTCCAGGGGTATCAGTATCGCTAACAGTTGTTATTTCTTTGTATTTCATAATGGTGGTACTACGCCCGAGGCCAGCAGTTGGCAGTCCAGGAGAGGGATCGGGTTCGGGATCACGTTCCAAGCCAGGAGATGAGAGGCTGCACGAGTTCATCGCGTCTGAGATCACCAGAGGTATCCTTGAGTTGACCCCCATTATCTCCGGGTCGATCAAGGAGGGGATATTGGAGATCATGGAGGATTGCCTCCGGGCATTCAGGAGTGACATGGCATCTGGCCAGTCGGGATCTCGCACGCTGTCCTTCAAGGACTTTCGGGGCAGTGGTGCACCAGACTTTCATGGGGTGAAGGACCCCATAACTGCCAGACGATGGATTGCAGACATCGATTATGCACACTTGACTAGCTTTTGCCCCGAGGGGTCGAAGGTGAGGTATGCATCAGGGTGCTTACGAGACCGAGCTCGAGACTAGTGGGAGTCAGTGGGTGACTCGTTGGGAGCCTCAACGATCGAGGCTATGACCTGGTCAGATTTTGTGACCAGATTCAGGGCAGAGTTTGCGCCGGATGTCGAGCTTCAGCAGCTGGCCAGGGGAGTTTTTGGACATGAGACAGACGACAGACACTGTAGCGGAGATCACCGCCAATTTCCGGGAGAGGGCACTGTTGGTGTCCAAATATGCGGGCGACGAGGACATGAGTAGGACATGCTATCATGATATGCTCCGGGCTGATATCCGGGAGCATGTTAGTTTTTCAGCTTGCCCTACCTTGGACTCCATGATTGCCAGGGTGAGGGAGAGGTAGATAGATTTGGAGCACATCCGGAAACGGAAGGCGGAAGAGGGACAGTCAGGAGGGGCTTCGGGGAAGAAGCCCAAGGGATCAGATGTGGGGCCAAAAGGCCAACAGGGACGGGGCCGCTGCAAGAAATGCGGCAAGACGCACGAGGGGGCGTGCAGGTCGGGATCATCAGGCTGCTACAAGTGCGGCAAGTCTGGGCACTATAGCAGGGATTGCACTGCTCCGGCAGTAGTTATTCAGACGTATGAGTTGCTGTGTTTCCACTGCAACGAGAGGGGCCACAAGAAGGAAAATTGCCCCCAGTTGACAGTTCCAGCGTCGGTAAAGGTGCCAGCTCCAGCGACCCTGAGGATCACGGATGGCCAGCAGGGCAAGGCAGAGGCTCCAGTGGTGAGGAGCCGGGCATTTCAGCTGACTGCCGAGGAGGCACGCGCTGCACCCGATGTGGTGACGGGTATGATTTTTTCCTTCTCATTATTTATATGATGTTATGATATTGATATGTACTCGGTTTATATATATATATATATATATATATATATATATATATATATATATATGTGTGTGTGTGTGTGTGTGTTAGGATCGTTCCATGTGAACGGTATCCCAGTCCAGGTGTTGTTCGACTCGGGTGCTACCCGATCGTTTGTTTCCCTTGCACTTAGCAAGAAGTTCACTGAGTCTTCGGGCATGTTGGATTGCCCTTTAGAGGTAGAGATTGCTGATGATCGATCAGTGCGAGCATCAGCAGTGTTTAAGGATTGTGTTTTGAGGTTATTTGAGGTGAGTTATCTGGTGTACTTGGTTCCCATT